CACCAGACCAGGTTGCTCAAGGCCTCATCCAGCCTGGCTTTGAACACTGCCAGGGTTGGGGCAGCCACATCTTCCCTGGGTAACCTGTGCCAGTGGCTCACCACTCTCACAGGGAATAATTCCTCCCCAATATCCCATCTAACCCTGCCCTCTGGCAGTGTCGCTGTCTTGTCCTTGTCTTACTCTTGTCTAGCCCTCCCATACCCTGCATTCCTCACCTAGAGTTGCAGAGTCCCTGGACCAAGTGCCCAAGGAACCCATCCATGATGGAATGAGGTGTTCCAGCTGTCAAGCAAGGAGAAGTGCCAGCAGGACTATGGTGGCCATGACCTTGCTGTGAAAGGGGCAGGATTAGTTTGGATATCAGGGAAAGGTTGTTCCCCCAGAGGGTGCTTGGGCACTGGAACAGCTCCCCAGGGCAGTGGTCATGGTGCCAAGCCTGACAGAGCTCAAGGAGTGTTTGGCCAATGCTCTCAGGCTCAGGTTGGATTGTTGGGGTGTCCCATGCAGGGCCTGGGGTTGGACTGATGATCCTTGTGGCTCCCTTCCTAAATTGAGATGTTCTGTGCTGCTCCTCCCTGTGTGGATGGGACATGCCCCTGTCCCTCCAGAGGGGGTTCTTTATCCCTATGTCCTCCCCTCCCTGTGTGCCTGCAGCACCCCACAGACGTGGACTACCGGGTCATGGCCACCTTCACCGAGTTCTACACCACTCTGCTGGGCTTCGTCAACTTCCGCCTCTACCACTCCCTCAACCTGCTCTACCCCCCAAAGGTGAGGCCACACCTGCTGGGACCATCCCTGGTGGTGCTGGGAGCCCTTCCTTGAGGGTCAGGGTGTGGTGGGGAGGAGAGATTTGGGGATCTTTGGGTCTAGGAGCTGCTTCCCCACCTCTGTCCCTCCCCAGATCGACAGCCAGGCTGACACTGAGCTGAAGCCTGCGGAGGGCAAGGAGTATGCCATGGATTCAGAGAGCTACCTGGAGGTGAGGGACACTGCCACCACTGTGTCGGACACTGCTGTCACTGTGGTCCAGAGGGGGACCCTGTGTTGGCTTGGTGTCCTGCCCACAGCCCTCCTGGTGTGGGACTGAGGGGCTGAGCTGGATCCCTGCAGGGTGGAGGTGGCTGATCCCAAACTTGTCTCCATGGGGAGGAGCTGGGCTTGGCCTTGGGCACCACCAGCCTCCCCCTGCATGGCAAGGGACCCTCCAAAGCCCTGTGCTGGGGACAGTGCATGGAGGAGGATGAATCCTCCCAGTCCCTGGCATCTCACTTTGAGCAATCACCTTCCCCCATGGACTGCCCCTTTTCCCATCCCCTGGATGTGATTCCATCTCCTCCAACTGCAGAAACTGTCAGCTCTGAGCGCCAGCCTGGCCCGAGTGGTTGCACCAACCCATGAGGATGAGGTGGAGGTGGATGAGTTCCCAGTGGAGGGGGTAAGAGCCTGGTGGGGAGCTCAGCCCTGGCCTTGAGTGCTCCTGTCCCATGCCCTGGCAGGGCTGGCAGTGCTGGGAGCCTGGGGACACAACCCCTTGCTGAGGGGCGGGGCCTTGGGGGAGGCTGTCGGGAAAGAGGCTGAGGGCTTTGCTCTGAGCAGGAGACAGCAGAGCAGATGGATGCCAAGAAGAAGGAGGAGGAGGCCCTGGAAAAGCACAAGAAGCTGTTTGAGGGACTGAGATTCTTCCTCAACCGGGAGGTGCCGCGGGAGCCGCTGGCCTTCGTCATCCGGTGCGTGCTGGGCAGGTGGCCCACACCTCTGTCAGCCTGCCCATTGTCCCATGGGTGAGGTGACCCCAAGGGTCCCACCTGCCTGCCTGACTCCTGGGTGGGCTTTGCTGGCAGGTGCTTTGGTGGCCAGGTCTCATGGGACAAGTCCCTGTGCATCGGTGCCACCTACGACGTGACCGACCCTTCCATCACCCACCACATCATCGACCGGCCCCGGGTGGAGAACCAGGTGGTTGGCAGGTGGGTGAGGCAGGTGACCTGTCCCCAGAACAGCCATGGGGACTGACTCTGAGCTGCAGAGCCTGAGGTGAGGTCTCTCTATGTCCCCACAGGTACTACCTGCAGCCCCAGTGGGTGTTTGACTCGGTCAATGCCAAGCTGTGCCTGCCCGTGGCTGACTACTTCCCTGGTGTCCTGCTGCCCCCACACCTGTCGCCCTTCGTGACAGAGCAGGAGGGTGACTATGTCCCTCCTGAGAAGCTGAAGCTGTTGGCTATGCAGAGGGGAGAGAACCCAGGTGACATGAGCCCTCAGAGGAGTTTGGAGCTGGGCGGGTGTCTGCCTGTTCCAGAGCCTCCTGTGGGTAATGGTGGTGTCTCCCCGTAGATGAGGAGAGTGAGGAGGAGGAGGAGGATGAAGAAGGGGATGAAGAGGATGATGACAATGACAAAGAAGAGGAGGAAGAAGATGAGTCCGAAAAGGAAGAGGAGATGAAATTAAAGAAGATGGAAGAGCAGAAGACTCTGAGCAACAAGGTGTGGAGCCTGGCAGTAGGGTGGGAGGCCTGGAAGGAGAAAGGTGCCTGTCCCTGCTGATGCTCCTCTGCAGGGTTTTCCTGTCCTGGGACCACTGAAAGACTTCCAGAATATTGGAATGGTTTGAGTGGGAAGGACCTTAAAGTTTATCCTGTTCCATCCCCTGCCATGGGCAGGGACACCTTCTAGCCCAGGTTGCTCCAAGCCCCATCCAGCCTCGCCTGGAACATGTCCAGGGATGCTCCTGGCTCTGTGTTCATGAGCTGCAGCTCCCACCCACGCTCAGGACCTGAGTCCAGAGGGAGCTGTGGCTCATCCATGACCCCCAGTGGATGGGCTGGTAGTGTCTGTCCCTGTGGCAGGAGATGTGTTCCAGGTATCCTGAGCTCTCCATGCCCCCCCAGGCACTCCCCGTGAAGGTGACACCCGGGAAGGTGCGTGTGGAGGACAAGCAGCGCCTGGAGCAGGAGCAGCAGAGCGAGGAGAAGCGTTTGGCCATCATGATGATGAAGAAGAGGGAGAAATACCTCTACAAGAAGATCATGTTCGGGAAGAAGCGCAAAATCCGAGAGGTACGAGGGCTGCTGTGAGACAGAGCCTCTCACCTGTGTCCTGGGCTGTGGGCTCTTCCCAAATCCCCTTGCTGCTTCCTCCCTGTGCCTGGTGAAGGTGTTGAGGGCAGCTGGGCGAGGGTGAGGCTTCCTTCCCCACCCCTTCCAGGCTGCCCCGTGGCAGGGCAGAGCTTTTGTGCTCCCTCGGGGCTTGTGCCCTGTGGCCGATGAGTGACACTGTGGCCATTCTTGGTGCTCCACACTGATCCCAGCACAGTGGGGTCCATCCCTCACATACACCTGAGGGTTTGATGAGTCTGAGGGTCTGCAGATGGGTCTGCCCTGACTGGGGGTCTTGGGGGTCTCTCCACAGGCCAACAAACTGGCAGCCAAGAGGAAAGCCCACGATACAGCTGTTAAAGAGGAGAAGAAGAAGAGCAAGAAGGCTCGGCGACAATGATGGGACTGAATGCTCCCGGGGGGACTGGTGGGTGTTTCCCACCTTGGTTTTGGGTAAAAAACCCTCAGCTTTGCTCCTGGGCCAGAAATGCCGGATTGAAACATTTCCCACGTGTACATAGACCTCCTGCTGTGCCTTTCCCCTTCTGTGGGATCAGTGTCTCAAGGACTGTCCTCCCCACACTGGTGCCATGAAGAAGAGATCAAGGAATACTCTGGGGTTGTTCCATATGGATTTGCACAGCCCTGTGTGCCGGATCCAAGCTCCCAGGAGCAGCTTGGGGCAGAGTAGTGCATGGACAACAGTATTCCCTTGTATTTTTATTTTTCATTAAAGAATGGGATGCTTTCCTGGTGTTGTTTGTTGTGTGTTCCATCTGTCTGGGCATGGGCAGGGCCCCGGGGGGGTGAGGTGGATGCAGCAGGAGCTGCCATAGCTGATGCCAGGGCTGCCAACTCACCCCAGGTGCACAAAGCAGCATCCCTGGCATTGGCAGCATTACCTCCGGAAATCATGTTCTTCCACCTGTGGTATTTCTTTTCCTCCATGATTTTTCCTTTTGATTTTCTCTTTTTTTTTTACCCTTTTGTTTCTTTCTTTCATTCAATTTTTCGAGTTTGCTTTTTTCCTTTTCCAATTTGCTTTTTCTTTCATCTTTTTTCTTTTGATTTTTCCTTTTTTCTTTTTCCTTTTTAACTTTCTTCTGTTTTCCTTTTTATTTCCCCTTTTCTTCTTCCCCCCCTTTTCT